ACCAGGCTCTTAGAGACATTGACCTTTTTATTGGTGGAAACATTTTGTTTCGGACGAAGAGGACATATTTGCTGAATAAAGGTGAAAAAACGCCATTTCGCAAAATAGTAATTCTGTCAAAATTACTACTTTGCGAAACAAATTCTACTATGGTCAATAAAATGAGAGGTGGGCAGGCTCTTAAAAATATTGATCATTTTATTGGTGGAAACATTTTGTTTCGGACAAAGAGGACATATTTGCTAAATAAAGGCGAAAAAACGCCATTTTGCAAAATTTCGTTTCATTTCGTTTCGTTTCGCAAAATAGTACAATTTTTTTTCGTTTCGTTTCATTTCGCAAAATAGTATAAGCCATCACCAATTATCAAATGGCTATTTAATATAATCATTTACTGGTTGTTCTAGGATGTGACATACTTAATGTACCTTCCTGGAAGACTTTTTCCATGATAACAAATGCGACTGCTGTGTATCACTAGTCGCCAATGGATTCTGAGATGTTGCTTGTAAAACTGCAATCATGATAGGTGTAAATCAAACAGCACTTGTATGAACACTGGATGCAAAATTTTGAAAATTAAATAATTATATATCCAATCTCTCCAAACTGTGCAGTCTACAGATCACAAATTAACACCAATCCTGGAGATAGTATTGTACCAATTTCATTATCATTATCATTGACTTAATTAATCTTGATGGCTGAAATAGTTTTATATGACTGTAGTCATTTGATTTTTATAGACCACATTTGGATCAAAAACTCTTAACTCATAATGGTCTTGCCAAATATAACAATTATATGATTGAAATAAAATATATAAATTATTCAACATACCAGATCTCACAGAATAAACTCCAGCAAACTTGGACACTTCCTTAGCTTCAACTTCTGAAATAGTCAAGTTACAATGCAATGGATAATATAGCAACTAAGCTAAATATTGAAAGTTTTGGAACAGTAAATATTACATTTCATTGAAGTTTCAATGTTAATGCATTAGGCATGATTCCCAACCTCTACATTGTGTTATTCCAGAAGGAGCATATATTGATCATCTATTGATGTCTTTCATAAACTTTAATTTTGTGCTGTGCTGTTCTTTTTTATTCATTTGTTTAGGATGGTTATAGTCTTTCCACAACAAATAAGGGATTCAATCACAGAGTATGATCATAATGCCATATTGGGTTTAAACTTTTCATGTGTGCTGACGTTGGTGGTTGAAAATAGTGATGTTGTTGCTAGATGTTACCTAACTGAGACACTAAATACCATTCCCATGGACCTTTCCTCGTTGCACACAGGTGCCCTACAAATTGAGTAAACCCAGAAGCCGCCAAACTGTACCTTTTTGAACACAGTCCTTCTCAGTGACTCCTGGATATTGGGCTCAAATTAATATTTGTCATAAAAAATACCTTAGTTATACCTTTGTTACTAATTTTTGATGTTGACTTCTTTGGAAGCTTGTAGTCAATAAGAAGTTTTCCAAAGCCAAATTCCTCCTCATCTGGTTCCACTTCCAAGCCATGCTCCTTCATGTACTTGTCAACAACCAGTTTAGTTGGTGTGTCATAGCTGTGCAAGTTTGCATTCAAACTACTGATATGTTCAGTAATGTCATTTATGGTTCCACCACGATGGAATGAATCTTGCAACTCATATACTGATCAGTATTACATTTGAATCAAGAAAAAAAACCAAACATGACAGCATATCATTACACTCACATTACCAAATACAAATATACACCTCAATAACTAATTTAAATTCACAAAAAATAGACATGGCTACACTTAAAGTATTGCATCTTTATACTTAAAGAAACATCTTAAGACTTTTATTCCCACAATCTCTGTAGCAATTCTCCTTACTGTCCGCCATGCAATTCTTATGATGTTAGATTGGAGAACTTGATGATGGATCAATTATTAATTCCCTTATTTTATATTTTTATTGATTTGTATCACTTGTCTGCTTGATATTGTATTGATGTTGCAATGAAAGAAATTCTGTCTTGGTGACTCATGATATTTAAAGGGTTAAATGAAATTAACAGGATTCATACCCTTTTTCAGAAACAAATTTTATGGACTTTCCATGACTATTCCAGGACTCAGATTGATTTTACTAGGACTCCAAATTTCATCTTAAATCCTTTCATTAACAAGATTTTAAACTTAATTCTCCTTACAGTCTACAAACCTTTCTTATAACATAAATTCTGAAAACTTTATTGCTTGAGGAAAATATCAAAATAAACTTCCAGGACTGTCCAGGTTTTGTGGGACCCATAGAAACCCTTAATTACTGTGGAACATGAAACTGACACACCCTCAGACCTCCTGACTCCTGGAACCTCACTGGATCTTGTACAGAAGATCATTTGGCTGTTCTTTTACCATCGTTTTTACTCAGGAATTGTTCAGTTATTGCTCAGGGAAACCAGCCCTTAAAGAATGATTATTATTGGTTCTTGTATGTTACCCTTATCACATAGGAAAAATAATTCATAGCTTCATCGAACAATTACACCCCCCTCCTCCTCTTCACACTTCCGGCCTCACCCTCCTTTGATGCAACAACCCTACTCGTGCATAACGATTTTCTTCCCATTTCACGATTTAAAAATTCGCACAATTTACTTAGGAGTTTCAGTTTTGATTCTGTAGCTTCCAAGCTTATGCACAATACACATGCACAATGTACAGCAAATGCTGAGATTTCATCGTGACGAAATAATGTCTACCTGACGTTTGTACTCTGTTGTACCCTTTGCGCGCGCGGCGCATTACCGTACTACCGCTCTTTTTCTTTTTTACGGTTCGCTCGACATCATTGAAACTGACTGAGACAACAGAAAACCTTTCCAATCTGACAGTATTCGTTTCTGCAATTTCTATCCCTGCGCGTAGAACATAAAACAATACGATCGATGCGAACTATACATTAACGTATATAAATTTAAGCTGATTGAAGCGAACCCCGCAATTTGAAAAGTCGTCCGACAAGCCTTTTTAATTAAACGCTGAGATATTCTTATGCAAGCTCTACGAAGAAATAAAGCTACCAGGATGCGGATTTAAGATCACAAATGATCGATTATTCATGACTCCGATTTGACATCGCGTGTTGTGTAGTTCTTTACCAAAGAGCTCAACGGGAGACAGACGGTAGCCATTGGTAACCAACTAATTCCAACGAACACCAACCGTGAGTCATAAGAGTAAAGAGTAAACATCATCACAAAGGATACAATCATCTGGGACTTTTTCTCCTTCAGCCACATACATGCTGTTATTTCTTCAAAGAAAGCTTCATCTCTGGTTGAAAACAGAGATCGCAGTAAAATGTTTACTAAACTCCCATGGAATGCCACGCGCAACAAGTGAGAAGAGCCTGAAACGAGCGACTGACTCGCAGGGCTCTCTGGGACTGCAATGGCGGATTAAATTTACGAGATTTTCCATTAATTCGGCAGAAGATGATGGAGTTTTGCGCTGTTTCAACCAAAGGAATTGCACCACGTAAACGTGCATTTCATTCTTGTTCTGTCGTAGGAGATGTTTTGTTTATTTTTGGAGGAATTGCATCAGACAGAACTGTTTTAAATGACATGTACATGTACCATATTTCTTCCAACTCATGGAGTCGGATCGAGGATAGAGAGCTATGTAGTTCTCAAAGCAGGCCTTTAGTTTCGTCAGGATTTCCTCAGGGAAGACTTTGCACCGCACCAAGTGTCAGCCACCATACAGCGACGGTTGTAAGGGGCCGGTTTATTTTAATAATAGGTGGCTGGAATGGACGGAAAAGATGCGCTGATGTGTTTTGTTTTGACACTGTTGATCAATTTTGGCGTCATATCCCTGAAACTGGAGACATTCCAGTAGGATTAAGCTCGCACACAGCAACTTTAGTGTCTTCTAAAGATATTTTGATAATCGGACGTGAAGGAGGCGTTCATACGCAGCGCCGTTTCGCTGGTGCTTTTTATTTAAACTTTGAAACTGGAAAATATTCCGAGGCACCATTTCATGCCAGCTCCAGATCGGGCCACACAGCAAGTCTTATCCCCATAAGAACTAGTAGAGAGAATCATTTATTTGTTTTTGGAGGCCGTAAGAATGGAGGATACGAACTAATCGGCTCTTGGAGAAAAGCGGAACAAACTGAGACATCGTTTCCCCAGCATAGAATCGCTGACTTGCTCGAAAAGTCTGCTATTTGCGACGAACCAAGTGGTCGACAGCATGCTAGAGCTGTAGAACTGAACAATAAACATTTGCTCATTTTTGGTGGGGAGACCTGGAGTGGTGTAAGGGAGAATGTAACAAATGAGGCTTTCGTTTTAGAAACTGACACAATGAAATGGTACAAGTTGCCCCTCATAGGAGATGCCCCAAAACTCGTTGGGCATTCCATGGTGGGATGTGGTGATCAGATTTTTGTGTTTGGTGGTGGGCTTTCCAACAAATATTCTGATACACTTTGGGAAGTTAAGATTAAATATCACTAGTGGACTGATATCTGCATGCAACAGTTGCAAACAGGTGGGACACTAACAAATAGTTTGTTGTTCAAAGCCTAAAACTTGAACTTGGAGAACTCACTTATTAATCACTTCTGGGAGTGAAACAGTTAATTTTTTTTAGAGGAAAGATGATGTATTGAAACTAATTTATAGTGTCCAGCTTTGAAAAACACATGGTTATTCTGTAACATGCATGTTAATGAGATTGTTTTGTCTGATATTCAGAATGCTAGACCTGCCCCATCCTCCCCTTTCAGTTTTAAATTTGTGTCTAATTATGGGGGATAAATAGATCACTACCTAGAGTATAAATCAAATAAGAAACTTATTCTACACTGATATATTTGGGAGCTCTGGCATACATATGAGTTATGGTAAGTTGAATTCTTAACCGTTAACGTCTGATACCTCATCTTCTGAATTTGCCATGTAACTTATTGACATTTTGATTACCTGATACTAGTCACGGGCCCTAACTATGTTTAAAAAAAAACCACATATTTACCACACCTACAAAAACCTCAAAAATTATTTTAGGAATTAATATCATACAAATCTCTCATAATCTATAAAAAAGCCTTTTCTTAAGTTCAGTGTGTTTATTTACAATTTTCCAAAATTTTAATGTTATTGCTTAGTTTATAGAAAAAAAAATTTGACATTTTTTCCTGTCAATAAACATGCTCATTGGTTAATTTTTCTTCCCCTAGATCCAGTTCAAACAATCTTGCAGCAGTGAGCACTTCACAGGGTTAGTTGAATTGTAATTGTTATTGAGCTGGTTACCAAAGGTATTTTGAAAAGTAAATCTTACAAAATTGTTTTACAGCTTACAATTTGAATATTATCATGGCTTAGGTTACACTTAACCTAACTCCTAATTGCTAAATTATTGGCTTTTTGTTTACCTACTTGTGTGGTTTCATTGCTAAAGAGGCTTAATGTGTAGAAAATAATTTCAATATATCAACAAAGTTGAAATGGTTAATTAGCCACTGTTACGATTATACAAGCTGATGTTTCGAGCGTTAGTCCTCCGTCGGAGCGAATAGAGGAATTGTGGGTTGTGTGTGCTTTTAAAGGCAGAAAATGGAGTTACGTTATTGGTGGGAATGTGGCAACGAGAAAAACACGAATAAATTAGTGGAATGAAAAGCACTCGTTGATACCTGTGGGATTTAGACTGCCGGTTTGAAAGATGAGCTTTTGTTCAAGAGTTTTACGGCTTAATGTGTATAGTTGATATTAGTTGTTGCTGCTGGCCAAACGCTATATGCTCTGCCGTCTCTGATATTATTAACTTTGAGATCTAATGTGGGTAGCAGACAGTTGATTTTGGTGATGGCTTCAGCCAACTGCTGTGCTCCTTTGTCATTGATACCAATGTATGAGAGGTCAAACCAGCATGGGTGACAGTTCTCCCTAATGGCTTAAGCCAAGTGCCGTGCTCCTTTTTCTGATATTATTTGATCTAACATGCATATGGATAGCTAGCAGTTGTTGTTGTTGATGGCTTCAGCTAATCGCTGTGCTCCATAATTGTCGATGTTATTGTCTGAGGTTTAAGGTGCATGGCTGACAGTTGTTGTTGATGGCTTGAGTCAAGCACTGTGCTCTATTGTCACTGAGGCCCTTTTTTGAAAGGATTAAGGAGTGGAGCTGACAGTTTTGGTTGCTGATGACTTCGGCTAAATACTTTGCTGCTTCATCTGTTAATTGATTGTTTGTGACATTCAACCACCTAAGTCAGGGACATTTCCTTTTTAACAACTTTCACATCTCTAAACAACCAAATGGGTCAACTGAATGTTGTTTTCCTCCAAATTTAAGCATGAAAATAACAAATGAAGGACACTCACCAGCTGTAAGGTCACAAATTGATAGACAAAATTAAAGCTACTTTGTTGTAGTTTTATCAAAACTGTCTACTTTATCTCACTGCCTTTGTTGATACATTTAAACAGTATTACTGCTAAATGTTGTTTGCTCGTTTAACATTTCAGTTGTTCACTAACTAGGAACTGGAAAACCAGTTGACATTTCCCATTGTGGATGTTCTTGAAAACAGTTGCTTAAATTAGTTTCATTCACGATGTTTGTCAAGTTCCTTGCAGCGAAAAACTCTTGTACTGTTACATGAATAAAACAGAATTGTTCTTCATATTCAAAGGCAGCAGTTTGATGGTTGGGCAAGCGGTGAAAAAGAGGAGCAACCCTAAAATCAGGAAACTGGAATCCGGAATCTGGAATCTGGAATCCAGAATTCGGAATCCAGAATGTGGAATCCAGAATCCGGAATCCAGAATCCAGAATTCGGAAACCGGAAACTGGAATCCGGAATCCTCCGGAATCCAAAAATAAAGCGAAAACGAACTTTTTCAAATACATGTAAGTTAAGTTGCAAATTTTTCTCCTGGAAATTTAAAAAGGTCAATAAAAAATGGCATCAAAGCACAGCTCTTTTGATAAAAAGGATTCCCAGCATTTCAGTTCAATAGGCAACCGTTAATCCTTGTGAGGGCTATGGATATACGAACCTAGAGTATTGTGCATCATAATTTGATTCTAAGTACCCAGAAGACGACTAAAGTGCGATTGCTTGTAACTGCCTCGTTGTTAAGTGATCTGCATGCAATTTGCCAGAGGTATAACTTGGCCTTCGTGCCCAGTAGATACACAACAAGTCAGCAAATGTTATAGAGAAGGGGCATTTCTATTAATAACTGGTTAAGGGGGTAACAAGTCATCATTTTGCTTTCCACTCTGTCCTGCCCAAGTAATCTAAATTCTTGGTACCAGTGGTAGCGAGAAATGGTCTGTTTATGTTCGCGTGGGCCTGGAATCTGTTTTTAAAGAAAGATGGAGTATCGAGGCATGAACAGTGTCATGAAAAAGAAAACCTTTAATTGCAAATGTTTGAAGAATAACTTGTCTTGGGTTGTGCACACTGGTAAGTCTCATTGCATACTTAAGGTTTCGCAAAACAGTTCAACCACTTGACCAGCATCCTCAGCTATAAGCTGAAATATTACGAACTAAACTTGAGCAGGTATTTTCTCGAATTGTCCGTCCACCAGATTACAACTTAAATCAGTATATGTTTACAAGACCGGTTTCCGGTTTCCGGATTTTAGGGTTTCCCGGGAACGTAATGCTTAATCGGTTCATCCCTTCCCCTAGTTTTTCAAATCAACACAAAAGGAAAGGAAACCACTACTCGAGGAAACCATTACATAAAATAACACAACAATAGTCGGTTATGGAGAGTTAATATTTACCCTCTTTTAACCACGCGTGTGGACCGCGATTTGTACGGGCAACCCTAAAAATCCTTAAACTGGAAACCGGAAACTAGAAAACGGAAATCCGAAACCCGAAACCCGAAACTCGAAACCCGAAACCCGAAACCCGAAACCCGAAACCCGAATACGAAAACCGGAAAAAGGAATCCAAAAATTAATCTAAAAGAGTTCTTCAAATGCACAAAAGTTAAGTTGTAAATATCTCGCCTGCAAAAGTAAAAAGGTCAATAAAAATGGCTTCAAGGTACAACTCCTGGCTTTGGGCGGAACACACCGAGCTTTTGACACCGGTTATTACACCCGTTTGGAATTTGTCCGTGGCAACTCACTCCTGGCCAACATCCTGGAAGAGGGCTAATATCAACCCCTTACCAAAGGTTGAGGTCCCACTACCGCGGCATTAATATTATACCTGTCATAGTCAGAACTTTTGAAAAGGCTGTGTATCGCACCCCGATGCGAAGCAAGTGGTATAGGGGAACTTGAGTCAAACAAAGTTTGCATCTAAACAGGGGGGTAATTGTACGGATGCCTTGCTAACTATTCAACGTCATATTTGTAAGTAGCCGTGAAGCGGAAGACTTTTTACTATGGATTTCAGCACGGCCTTTGACTCTGTTAAGCATAACCTTCTATCTGCAAAGTTGAAACAGTTACCCTTAAACCCGTATATAATTAATTGGTATCATAGTTTTTTGAGTAACAGACAACAGCGCATCTCAGTTAATGGTCATTCTTATGAATGGGTATATGTGTCAATAGGGGGACCATACAAGGAAGTGCGGAGGTCCACATTTATTTAATGTTTTCCTCAATGATCTGGAGATCTTTATAAACGACACGCCCGTGCTCTTCAAATATGCTGATGACTCAACAATTGCAGCTCCCGTATGGAAGGATTTAGATACGTCAGTAGACCTGGTAAATCAGTTTCTCAGTTGGTGTATAAATAACCAGATGCTGTGTAATCCGAGTAAGTGTAAAGAACTGATATTTAGAAAGAAGGAAAGTAGCGGTATACGCCATCAGTACGCTGCCATCAATAACATTCCTCAATGTGATAGCCTTATATTGCTCGGTCTGATTTTTCAGCCTGATTGTAAATTTAGCGAGCATGTTAGACTTAAGCTCACCAAAGCTAACAAGTGCCTTCATATTCTCAGAACTCTACGAAAGGAACTCTGTAGCCAGAAGGAAATTGATCACTTATTTAATATCCCAGTTCTTCCCATTCTCACTTATGGTCTCGCTGTGTATGGTGCTTCTGACTCTGATTTAAATGTTATACAGCGTTTTTTGGACAGGTGCCATAAGCGTCATTTTACCTTTAAAACACTCAGCATTTTTATTCTTTTAGAACAGCACGATAAATCCGTTTTCAAAAGAGCTATTGATAATCGTGCGCTAGGTGCGATCATTCCCAAAGAAAAAATTAGTATATAATTTGCGTACGAGGTGTCACCTTCCCCAGATAAAAACGGAGAGAATCAAGACAACTTTTGTAAATAGACTTATTTTTAAATATATCTAGTGTAGTATTATTCTATCTTATATTATTATTGTATTTTATCGTGTATCATTTAATACTTTTTCATTGTAACTTAGGATATGTATTTTTATCCTTTGATTGAATAAAGACTATTATTATAAGACTATTATTATCATCTTTTGAAAAACGGATTCCCTACATACTTCATTCGTGCAACCATTATTGTGAGGGCTATGGATGACTTAGAGTAGCGTGCCTCAATTTGATTCTAAGCACCCGAAAAATAGCAAAAGTGCGCTTGTTTGTAACTGCGACGTTGTTTAAGTGATCTCCATTCAATTTTCCAGTGGTATAATTTGGCCTGGTAGATACAGAGCAAGTCAGCAATGTCATACAGAACCAGGCGGGGTCCCTGGCAGGGTCGGTGGCATCCAACTACGACAGTCGCGCCCTTTGCACTTAATGATCGAAGGCTGACTCGGTTCGTCTAGATAAGTTTGTTTTTCCATGCAGCCACATTTTGGAAGTAAAAGCGGAGAAAAATTGGTGTAAATTAATGAATGAATCCTCAGGCCATGCAATTTTTTGTCTTATGTTGCGATCATTTCATTTCGAGTGCATTTCTATTATACCTGGTTAAAGGGGTAACTAGTGCTTATTTTGTTTCTCACCCTGTCCTGTCCATTGAGTATAGAAGAGTATAGAAAGTCGTCTAAATCTTTGGTACTAGCGGTTGCGAGAATTACTAACGTTTGAAGAATAACTCGTCTTGGGTTATGCTCACTGGTAAGTTTCATTACAATGCTTAGGAATTTTGTAAAACAACTCAACCACTCAACCTGCATCCTTAGCTATAAGCTGAAACTTAGCTTAGTATTTCTCGAATTTCACGTCCACCGGATTTCAATATGTTACAAACTTACTTCTCTCTCCTCCTAGCTTGTGCTACAACGACAGTACTGTAAATTTTCAGCTACTCACCAGTCTTCTCATGGAAAAGAACCCCCTTCCGTCGGAGAGGGGTTGACGAAAAGGATAGCAAACTCTATCCACTGGAGAAATTACGAGCCCTGAGTGGATAACGATTTATCAAATGGATGGCCTTATCCACCGTTTGCTTTTTTCTCACAACTTGATAACTTGAATAACCATTCTTATTTTTAGCTCAATTGGTTAGAGCGCCGGGCTTTTGTGCAGGGGGTCGAGGGTTCGAGCCCCGGCCGGACTAACACTTAAGGTCTTAAATTAACTGAGGAGAATGTGCTACCTTTCTATAATATCAAGAAATGGATAGACATTATAGTCTTCTCAGATAAGGACGAATAAACCGTAGGTCCCGTCTATTGCATCTATTAATTAGTTACTTTGGTTAGACAGGGGACGTTAAAGAACCCACTCACGAGATTACTGTGATGTGATCTGGCCTGTTTACTGGGAATTGGGGGGAGAGGGGGTATCTTCAAATAAGTTTCCTTCGATTGTTTGTAAACTGCAGTCCGGCCAAAGTCCCCCGAAAAGTGTTGTGATGCGCCGCCAAGATCACCGAGTGTGTATATACTATTGTTGAATTTTTACCGTGGTGAAACGAATCTGCCACGGCTTTTCTCTACTCTAAAAGCAAAGTTCGTGACACGAGTTTTAATTTTTGTCTACGAAACATCTGGTACAGTTATTTGACAACTGACATTTCAATTACATGTATTGTAGGCAAATAATAAATAAGTCATCCTGTTGTACGCAGTTTAAAATTGTTTCATAGTATTCCACTTGGTCGTACTCTTTCAAGGAACCAACTCCAAGCAGAGCGGTTGTTGGTTCGAATTGCTAGCCACAGAAGTGGAGGGGCTCTTCACACAGTAGGTGAGGAATGCGGCTCGATGTTTGTAGTGGTCTTCAAGGAGGCCTTTCTTGTCACACCTATGTATTTAACTCAGTTGGCCCTTTGGCAGAGAGGGCATCAGTAATTTACGAGCAATAGTTTAATTCGTCCAAACTACTGAACTTGGGTTATTGAAATATTCTAATATGCCTGAGATAAAACAAAATTCTCGTAATATAAAAAATATCTCATTGAACTTAAACGAGGTACTTTGAAAACTAGCGTCAGAGGGATCTATTTTTTTTTCGCATTAATCTTGTTTCACCAAGATAAAACAGTGTTCTAAAATACCGATGAACAAGCTGGCAGTTTTACTTCGTTGACGATGATTTGCTACACGTAACTGAGTGTGAATCATTCTCAGTCCATGGCAAAAATCGTGAGAAAAAGAGCAAGCGAAATTCCACAGTCAAACTTCTCCAGTGACCGAAAGCCTATCACGGGTTCCTTAAATTAAGACAAATTTCAGTTACTGTATTTACTCAGTTAA